ACAACAGTGATAGTTGCTTCAATTTTCATTAGAGAGGTGGTCAGACTACATGGAGTACCTGAGGCGATAATATCAAATAGAGATAAGGTGTTCCTCAGCCACTTTTGGAGGGAGTTGCTCAGATTACAGGGAACAGTTATGAAGAGGAGCACAGCTTACCACCCATAGATGGATGGCCAAATGGAAGTAGTCAACAAGAGCTTGGAGACTTACCTGAGGTGCTTTGTATCAGAGACACCCAAGCTATGGGCTAAGTGGCTATCATGGGCGGAGTATTGGTACAACACCTCTTTTCATTCGGCATCACAGATGACCCCATTCAAGGTGTTGTACGAACGAGATCCTCCCCACTTGATGCATTTTGGGAGTAGCAGTACCCTAGTTTCTTCAGTCGAGGAGTACTTAAAGGAGAGGGATCGAGTACTAGAAGAGTTGAAGAGCCATATGCTGAGAGCTCAACAGGTTATGAAGAAACAAGCTGATGAGCATAGGAAGGACATCCAGTTTGAAGTGAGAGAGAGGATGTTCTTGAAGCTCCGACCTTAAAATCAGAAGACAATCGCCAATAGGAGGAATGAGAAGCTGGCCCCTAGGTACTTTGGACCTTACGAGGTATTGGAGAAAATAGGAGCGGTAGCGTACGCCTGAAATTACCACCAACGGCGACTATACATTTGGTTTTCCATCTATCCCAGCTGAGAAGATCCATTGGAGATTATACAACTAGCCCAGAGTCACCGGTGACACTCACGAAGGATTTAGAGGTGATTCTGGAACCTTTAGAGTTGATGAGGGTTCGCCAGAAAGGAGACGGAGCTAAAGAAGTGCTAATCAAGTGCAAAAACCTTCTGGAATACAATGCCACGTGGGAACCTTATGATAGGGTGAAACATCAATTTCCTAATTTCCACCTTGAGGACAAGGTGGTTCTTTGGGAATGGGATATTGTTACGCAGCAGCCTAAACTAGCCAAGGAGGGGCCGGTTTGGACCTACAGGAGGCGAACTAAGCTGTCGCCTCTTGAAACCCAGGTATAAGTGGGTGGGTCACCTCTCCTTGGGCGGCAAATTGAAAGAGAGGAGGGGGGCGGTTCATGCAAATGAGGGATTTGAAATAATTTATATTAGGAAGCTTTGAATTAGGAAGGAGGTATTTAAAGATGATGAGAGGCTAGAGTTAGGGCATGCTGGTATTGTTTGTTATTTTGGATATTTCCTTGGCGTCTTGGGCTCTAGATCTACAATCTAGAGATTGGGAGAGACGACCCTCCTCTCGAATTGAGGATCAATTGTATCTTGCTTTGATTTGTTTACGCTATCGCAATCTATCTTCTAGTTTGATTTATCCAAGTTTCTTGTTTCTTCTCGTTGTTTTGAGCAAATTATTGCTATGGCTGCTTGCGAACTCAAATAAATCCGTTCGGATTACTTGCGAACTCAAGTATTTTCTATCAACCGGCCATACCAATCAAGTTTTTAAAACTATGATAATCCTGATACTAGTGCAAAATGGCTTATGATATTGGTATATTAGCTATCCTATAGGAATTTTGTTATTTATTAGAATAATTTCAAGCAAACTTCACATGCTCTTGCATATAAGATCCATTTTTATGGGTAAGTTTCATATGATACTTTTATTAGTCTTTCTAGGTGCCTACAACTCTACATTACATATAGAATATCGGATTCGTAATATTGAACCATTTTTATTATTTATATTACTAAATACAAATATCTTGACAATGTATCCTGTGTGATAAATCTTATCCTTATTTCCATATTGTCGTCATGCTTCATATAGGATAATATCTTGAATAGGAAAAACGAAATCAAAGAAAAAATGTTATATCACACAGATTTATAGAAAAAATGTTATATCACACAGATCTATAAAACAGATCATAAACATATCGAGTTGCTAATAAGTAGATCAATTACAAAACTCTACAAAGTAAGAGACGTTTTCTAAACATATAATAAATGCTATTCACCCTTACTTTTCTAATCGCCAAACTAAATGATGTAGAACGGGAAGGGGGGGTCACATGAATTTGAAATTTCAGGTTAAGTGGGAAAGAGAGAGTAAGGGGTTGGTGGCTGTTATGGGGGGAAGAGAAGAGATTGGGAGGGAATTCAAAGTTTCTTAATTCATTAATTCAATTTAGAAGAATGATAAAGAAATCAAATCTAATTTAAAATTAAATTAGACTTAATTTTAGGAACTTTCCTAATTTAGTTTGGTTAATTTAGGAAAGTATTTGAAATTCAAATTTGAATTTCAAATTGAATTAAAATCTTTCCCAAATTATTTAGGCTAATTTAGGCATGTAATAATGATGATTGAAATAATCATCAAGAGGGCCAAGGAGGTGCGAGGGTGTCCACATTCGATGAATGTGTCCAGGTTCAATGAATCATGAAAATTGAAATTAATTCCAATTAAATTCAGATTGGGAGAGATTTTGGGGGTTTCCAAAAAGCGATTTGCTAATTAGGAAAATTAATTTAAATCAAATCCAATTAGAAATTTAATTAGATCTAACTTAAGTAACTTTCCTAAAATAAGAATCATTAATTAGGAAACAAATTCAAATTCAAATTTATTTGAATTTTGAATTCGATTTCATTGCCAAATTAAGAGGGCTAAAATAGGAAGGGCTTTGAATGCAAGACGAAATTGGTGGAGCCAAAGGAGGGAGGAGGTGGGGTGAGGTGGTTGGCTGACTATGGAGATGGAGGGGCTGACGTTTGATCCAAAAGAAAAATTAATCAAAATCAAACGAAATAAAATAAAAACGGATGGCGAATGGTGGAGACTAGAGATGAGAGGACGAAGAACAAAGAAAAAAAATAAAATAAAAACGATACAAACCACAAGCCCGCACTCTTCCTGTGGCTGGTGGGTGCTATGTTGCCCTCCCCGAGGGACTTCAATTCACGAGCCCGAATCTATCCTGCAGCTGGTGGAAACAAGGTTGTCCTCCCATAGGACTTTTGCACCTATAACTCACACAGAGATCAAGACAAAGACTCCACTTCTTTTTTTATTAATAATCCATCATTACATTACACAAGCAAGGGTCTCTATATATAGACCTAAGAAACTAAAACAATATACATATGTCCCTAGGGCTTACATAGGATGACCCTCTTAAGTAAGGGTAAAAAGGGAAAATTCATAATAAAAAAATTACAAATAACAAAATAAGATAAAGTGAAATGATCTCGGCCGTTGATCGTCGTCTCCTCCTTTAAAAATGTTCATGATTGGATGTCCGCATCACTAAAAGTTCCAACAATAGACACATGCAAAATATTTTAAAAAAAAAAATCGAAAGTTGAAGCCATCTTCAAGAATCTGGCAACATTTTTTTTGTTTTTGTTTTTTTGTTTCATGAGAATTTCAAATACCACTGCACAAATTTGATATATACATACTTGCAACCCAAGAGCATCTTATTCTAAGAAATAATGTTGTTAAAAGAAAAGCACAAAGAACAAGATTTGAGCAAAATTCATCAAAGTTTGAGAAAAATTTGAGCTCAAACCATAATTGAATCTTGCTTGAACGTTGAAGTGTCGAAGGGAGAAATGTCCTCCTCCGTAAGCATCAAGGATAAAGGCATAGAAAGGGAATTTTAGTCCGAATGAAACTTCAGATATATTTATGCAAGAGAATATACAAGAGCATATTTTTTAGGCTATTATGGGATATATAAAGTCGAATTCCCTATCTAGTATATTTTTGCACTATTTATTATGCAAGTAAAATCTTAGTTTTTACATTTTAGACACTATTTATTTTATTAATTTTATACTTGCTAGCTATGTTGTGCCCATCAAGAAGCTTCTTCTCAAGCTTCACAATAATTTGTCATTGTTTTATTTAGTTTATCTAAAATAATAACTTAACTTTTTGGCATAAATTAACCTAGCATGTTCTTAATAAATAAATCTTCCATCATATTTACATATGTAGATTAAATAAACATTAAATGGGTTCTACTTGATTTAACTGAGGCATCACTTAGTGGAAATTTGTTATAAGGAAAATGTCGAGAAGTGCATGGATCTTAGTAGCATAATTTAGTTCAAGTAAATGTGTATTTGAGCTCAAACATTTGTATTAAAATGAAAGAAAATGAGATCCTATTTTTGGAACTCATGCTCTAAAGTTAGAAGCAAATTTAAATTAGGTAAAAAGCTCAAAATAATTTGCCGATTATTCATTTGCATATTTATCCAATTTAACCCCTCAACTATACAAAATTGATCCCAAGTAATACCTTAAGAACTAAATTGCGATCAATTTTGAATAATAGAGAGCCAAAATTGTGATTAATTTTGCATCCTAACTTCCATTAATTTTTTTATCTTAAGGGGCTATTTGAGATCAATTTCATATAATCAAGAGTTGGAGAAATGTGATATTCAGAGACAAACTTGGCAATATATGAATGATCGGGTGGGCTTTTCTGATTCTAAGTATAAGGGGTTTAAATTCCCCTTTATTTAGCTTTTGAATATGATAACAACAAATCAATATAAAAGCAATGTGAAGCATAGTTAAATAAAAATTATATAGATTAAAACTATAAACTAATAAATAATTATGATAATAAATAAGGCTAATTAATAATAGATTGCTAAAGAAGATTATTTAGACTATTAAAAGGGTGTGATTTATAATTAATCATTAAAGTAGGACAATTAACTAACTTAACAGGAGATCATATAAAATTATTACTTGTTTTAAATAATAATATGGCCAATAAATTAGGGATTAAATAATATTTTCCCAAATTACCATGCTTATAATATACCCACAAAATCTGGAAGAAAAGGCATTGCATTATTACTAAAAAGACCCTCAAGATTTTAAATATAAAATCATTAAGAAACATAAAAAAACCAAAAATTTTGTGTAATAGTACCCTACAAACTATGACATGTACCAAAATAGAAACTTTAAAGCTACTAAATAGTTATAGGACATACCATTGCCAGTTTGGTGCCGGTAAAGCCACAAAATCCCACTGCACATAGCAACAAAATATAAATGAGTGGACAAAAACTAGATATGCTGGTGGACACACAAAAAAGAAAAAATCTCATCACCAGAATTAGGTGTGTTCATATCTACTGATTGGAAAGCTGCCTAATTCATTAAGACTGTCTTCTAAAGCTAACATCCCACATTAGTCTTACAGCTTTATTAGTTCCATTTTTAAAATCTAATATATTTTTCACTGGTTAGAAATTAACATAAACAGATTTTCACAAGGGAAACAAACATTATGTAGCTTAAAGCTTGCATTGCTAAAAATCAGCATTACGTGCATCTTCAGGTTGAAGAGCATAAAAGTATATAGAAATTATACCTGGATGCCTGCTCGTAGCTGAAGAATTTGACAGCTGAATTTGGAATGATACGTGCACAGTTAGTACCATTTCCTTTAAATAATCCTCGGAAACCCTCAGTTCTCCAAATATACTTCAGGCCTTGAATTGTTCCATTATATTTAATGTTGAGAGGATTTTGGACCTGGAGTGTTGAATGCCATGTTATGAAAAAATACATGCTACTAAACAAAAAGAGGATGCAGACAGAAGTTCCTCTAAAATATTTAGAAAAAAGCACAGATAAAATTGAAATAAGCATTCTTCATTTTTGTTTCTGATAAACAGCAAGTTCAGTTAGTTCGTAGTGAATATAGCAAGCAACAAAAAAATGCGATAGTTTGGTGAGAGATTGTACAAAGAGAACAGATACTATTTTAAATTTCAATGAAGTTTGGCAAAAGACAGGGATACTAATTAAAATGAATACGGGTAAAAATCGTGGAAGAATCAAACAAGAATTCCCAAACCCCACTACATACCACAAGCTAAAAGAGTTTTGGGTTAGATTCCAAAATAATTAAAAATTTGTGAGAGAAATAGCAATGACCATGAGTTCAAAAAGACACTACGTTTCTGCTTTAATCTGGGCAGTATTAGAAGAGCTGCTACTAAACCCAACAAACTGAAACAATACATAAGAAATGCGAAGCATAACCTAGCCGAAGTTAATAGCAACCGCTTAAAACCATTCAAGTAAATACTATAATAAATTTATAATGTAGTAAATAAAGGAAACAGAAGTAGAAAGGGTCAAAGACAAGAGGCCAATTAAAGATTAAACTTAATGTTTATATATTAATGTTTATGGATGATGGTTCATTAGAAATTTTGATGAGTAATAAAAGCAATATTTTCTAAAAATATTTATTTTCTTTAGCCATAATTTTGTTCCTGTATATCTCCTCCCCTACATTCGTTGCAAGATGCCTACCTTTTCCTTTGAGGAAAAAGACATAAAAATATATGCTTAATTTACCAAGATAAGCCTAGACTACACGAACCAAACCAAGTTTCAGAAATGCCCTCTTTTGAACAATTTGAAAGTTCCAAAAAAAATGCTAAATATAAGCTACAAACATCTCTTCACAATCTCCAAGTGGTTTTAAGTCCATAGTCCTCATTGCAAGTGAGTAGCTCAAGCGGCTCATAAGATTAGAGAGAGTCTCCATAGATGGTTTTGTCACATAAAATGTCAGCCTTCCCATAACCCGGTTAGGAGAGAATATGCATTAGATTTGGCTCATATTAAGAAAGGTAAAGTAAACCTTAAAAACATGGTTAGAAAGTATAGAAATGATATATTTTTATTAAATTTAAATGAGGATTTGCAATCTCCAAGTGGTTTTAAGTCCATAGTCCTCATTGCAAGTGAGTAGCTCAAGTGGCTCATAAGATTAGAGAGAGTCACCATAGATGGTTTTGTCACATAAAATGTCAGCCTTCCGATAACCCGATTAGGAGAGAAGATACATTAGATTTGGCTCATGTTAAGAAAGGTAAAGTAGACCTTTAAAACATGGTTAGAAAATATTAGAAATGAAATATTTTTATTAAATTTAAATGAGGATTTGACTCCTAATAGTACACAATGAAGAAAAATAATTTATGTAGCTGGCTCCACATTTCGGGGTAAAGGCTTGATGTTGTTATTGTTGTATCCTTTCCCTTTAAAATCTCTAGCTGTTTAAATCCACCCAACGTATTTGTTAGGAAACAAGTAGGATTTAACTTGAATAGGATTTAGTAAATCCTGTAAATACGGATTTAATAAATCCTACTAAAGATAAAATCTAAAAACCAATTGGCAATATAAATGTGATAGGAAGTGGATGTACTTTTCATAAAAAATCAACAGATGAAACACGAAAAATTGAGAAGAAGATTGCCCCAAAATAATTTTTATTGAAAGAACTATATAGAGAAATGCAAGATACAATTGGATCTTCAATTGGAGAGGAAGATCCGACTCTCCCAAATCCCTGGCTACCAGCAAGAGCCCAAAGAACCTCATAATAAATTAAATTCAGCAAACTCACAAAAAACCTCCTCTGAAATCACCCCATAGTTAGCCTTAAATAGGCTCACATAATTCCCTCCCAAAGCAGCCCCCTTTTCCTAGCAAAATCTCTCTCATATTTGAATTCAAATTAGATATATTTCTCTAATTAATTCCCTCCTAATTGTAATTAAAACTTTCCTAAACAATCCCCACTTAATTCATGCCTCTTTTTCCTAAATAATTTCCTCTTAGATTTTGAATTCAAAGTAGATCTCTTGCCTTAAATAATTTCCTCCCAATTGAAATTAAAAAATTTCCTAAACAGTTCCTATTTGATTAAGAACAACAACAACAACAACATCAAGCCTTTGTCCCACTATGTGGGGTTGGCTACATGAATCATTGTTTGCCATTTAAATCTAACAAAGAAAAATCATTTCTAATATTTTCCAACCAAAACTTTTTAGGTCTACCTATACCTTTCTTAACATAAGTCAAATCTAAAATCACAACTTTCCTAACCGGGTCATCAAAAGGCCTCTGTTTAATGTGACCAAATCATCTAAGGTGACTCTCTCTAATCTTATCTTCCACTGGAGCTACTCCAACCTTTTCACGTATATGCTTATTTTACATCCTATCTCAAGGGTAAAGCCACTCATCCACCTAAGCATCCTCATCTCCGCAACACTTAACTTAGTATTATGCTTCTCCTTTGATTAAAAACATTCCTAAATAATTCTCTATTGATTAGGAAACTTCCTAATTCCCTCCCAATCAAATCGGGCAGTCCATCAATACTCCCCTTCCAAAGTGTTACCTTGTCCTTAAAGGTGGAACGAAGGAAATTGTTGTTGAACCACTGGACTAATAGCACTACATTGAAAAATGATTTGTCATTAGGTTGAATGATCCCTTTCACCAATTTCTCCCTGATCAATCTCTCAATCTCATTCTCTTGAAGTTTGGGAGAATAGTACAGACGAACACTGATATGTGAGACACCATCCTTCCAGATGATAGCATGCTTGTGTTCCCGCGGAGGAAGAAACCTATGAACTGGCTGGAACACCTCACGATATTCCAGTAAGAGTGGTTGAACCATGTTTGATGCTTCTATCCCCTCCCCATCTTCTTTTCCTTCCAAACTCTACAGCTCTAACAGAAATCTTACTCCATTTCCCCTCCTTGGATGTGGTTCCAAAGATGCCATCTCCTCTTCTTCCCCCAAAATTTACACGTCTTGATCTCCCTCTTTATCCCAATATTAGGGTTTCTCCCATTTTCTTGTTCGGTCAACGATGCTCTCACCTCTGATATTATTGGTTTGGTTTGGCCCTCGAGCAACTTTTTTATTATCTCCACCATGATGAACAATTTCTCGTCGATGTTCTCAAGGATGGCTGAAAATTACTTTTTGGAAACTGAAATTTACAAAATTAGATTTCAATTGTCCAATCTCCCTTATCAACACTTCTACCTTTCTTCCCGCCATAAGTACCCGGATATAGGCTCTGATACCAATTTGATTGAAAGTGGATGCACTTTCCAAAAAATTTAGCTGATGAAAAACTAAAAAATTGGAAAGAAGAAAGCCCCAAAAAAAATTTTATTGAAAAAGCTATAAAGAGAAATGCTAGATACAATTTGATCATCAATTAGAGAGGAAGATCCAGCTCTCCCAAATCCCTACCTGCCGGCTAAAGCCCAAATAACCTAAGAATAAACTAAATTCGACAAACTCCCAAAAACCTCCACTGAAATCATCCCATAGTTAGCCTTAAATAGGCTCCCATAACTCCCTCCTCCTTTGCCTAAATAAATCTCTCTCATATTTGAAAATAGATTATTTCCCTAATTAATTCCCTCTCAATTGTAATTAAAACTTTCCTAAACAACCCCCTTATTTCCTCCCCCTTTTCCCTAAATAACTCTCTCTTAGATATTTCTTTCCCTAAATAATTTCCTCCAAATTGTAATTAAATTTTTTCTTAAACAATTCCCTTTTGATTAAGAACCTTCCTAAATAGTTCCCTCTTGATTAGGAAACTTCCTAATTCCCTCCCAATCAAATTGGTTGATCCATCAAAATGTTAAATCTTGTTAAATCCTGCAGAGCTGTTTGGCAATATAATCAGGATTTAAGGCGCGTCAAACAACTTGACGCTCGTAGCCAACTCTTATGTTCGCTCTCCCATTCTCCCACGCGTGGTGGAATATTAAATATGCCGAACTGTAGGATTTAATAAATATGGAATTTACCGCAAACAGTACCAAACGGCGGATTTAATTAGCCATAAGTTTGAACGGCAGTGTAAATCCTATTTGTTAGGATGTAGCATAAATTTTGCTCAAATTCGGCATAAATCATGTTGCCAAATAGCCCTATATGTTGTCCGCCTAAAATAGTTTTGAAGGACCTTTTATTAATTTTGGTATCATCTATGCAAGTAAAAATCCTTGGAAAAAAGACAACCAAGAAAAAATCAAATTTTTAAACATTCCTCCATCATCTCCTAGTATTTTCAAGTTGATTGGTTTCTAGCATTCCTAAAATCCTCTGACATTCTCTCAGCCAACTAGGGTTTACAATGCTTAGCCAACCCTAGCACTTTTTACACGAAAGGCTTCTAATGTATATTGAAACATATCTACAATAACTATAAGCCCTAAATTATAAGGCTCCAACAATTAGCTATCAGAGAAAATCTTGGATATTTAAAAGTAGCAAGATATCGTATTTTGAAATGTTGGCAAGAGAAATATTAGTATACTTATTATATTGGATTTTCATATTTGCATTTAGCCAATTAACTGCTCCTCCTCAAACTTCTTAAAATTTATTTGAGTCCTATACTAATTCTTCTTAAACTTTGTTTGAAGAATGATATCTCAATATGATGATAAGTTACCTTCACTGTATGATATCATGATTCAATTGCAATATGAAAAAGAAGTGATGCCTAGATCGCCAAAATGAATTTCTTTAAAATATGAAGAAAAATAGGAATTCAATAAATAATTTGAGGGGCAAAATGTCACGTAATAGTCCTGGCAAACCAATTTAAAATATTATTTTAAACAACAAGAAATAAATCTTGAAACCCTTATTAAAGTTAATATAGCTGTCATCACCATTACCC